TATATATATATATATATATATATATATATATATATATATATATATATATATATATATATGTAACAATATTCATATAACAAATACATCCTATAAATAACAATATATTAAATAATTATATAAATAACATAAATAACATATCTATATAAATATAAATATAAATATAAACAAGCATTTATAAATAATTTATATATAATTATAATATTATAACGCCGCTTGTTACCACGATAGTGTCGCCAATTTACAATGGATCTTTATCAAACTCAACATACTTATTCTACAGATAGATACCGAGGTCAAGTTCGAAGATGAGCTTAATCGGTCAAGTAATTTAGAAATGCCATGATTTCAAAATTTTCAAAATCATAAAAATTAACATTTCTCCATTTTCGTCCTTCAATAACTTTTAAATAGGATAATTTATCGAATTTCTGTAAATTGCATCTGAAAGCTCTTTAAATAAGCTTCAATTTGAGTACCATATCATATGTGTAGTCCCAAAATTATGTCCTACTCCGCTATGCCAATTATGAAATTTTTAGTAGATTTCATAGAAATCTCCCGCCAAGCAAAGTATGCAACCCATAATAATTTTTTTATAACATTCAATATTAATTTAAAAATCTGAATAAATTATAGTGTCATCTAGACACTTGAAGGAATATAGCCCCGCCAAAAAAAATTTTTAGCTTGATTTATGTTTAAGTTATTCAATTGTTAATTAACTAATTTTTCGTAGACTTGAGTTTTCATAAAATCTCTTATAAATGTTTAAAAAATGTGGCTATAAATTTTTTTTCTTTTGGGAGCTTGTTATATAAATAATGAACAAGACCGGCTAATGTTATAAAAAAAATTTTTTTTCCTAAATTTTTAATTTTGGTTGTTTTTGTATTGATATATTGCGTCTAGTAGCTTGGCTAAAAAATTTTTAACATTAATTGTTTAAAAATTTGTTATAAACAAATAGACAAATTGAATATTTTTGAAAATTTTTTTTTTGCCATATTATTGTCTTAACAAAATAATGATTTTTAAAAAAAAATTTTTTTCTTAAAAAAATTTTTTAATTGTTTATAATTTTATAATTGTTTTTTTGTTGTTTGTTGTTATAATTATAATTGTTTTTTTCATTTATCCACCATTTAAATTATTTATTAAGAAATCATTTTTTT